TGACTACTTTGGGGCCCTGGCCTTACCCATTCCAACATCCTGCCCAGGTCCTCACCTACCAGGTCTCTTTGAGTCCCACGAGAATGAGGGAGCAGGCCGGCGGGAGGCGACCAAACAGGAGACTGCCGAAATCCAGGCAGGACGCCCATTCTCCTTTGCGATCCCTCGTTCCATCACCGCCTAGCCGTTTTCCCAAACCAGTGGCAACAATGGGCCAGAGCATTCTCAGTCAGGGAACCAAATATGTTACAGAACCAGGCTGGAACACTGGCAGAAAAACCAAGCGGCACTTGGAGATCTTGGTGGATCAGAGATTTATTTAACACCGGCGGGCTCAGAGGAGATCGTTTCTCCAAACAGCTGAGCCCCCAGTGCAAGTGGGAAGGGTAATTTATAGTTGTCAGCTTCTGTATTCCTGGCAGGTTTTCGCGCCTGCGGCAAGAAGAACCCAGAAGAGGGGTCTCTAAGCTAGAGACCAGAGCTCGGTTTAGTCCCGGTGGGCCATCTTTGGCGCGGTGCTTTATTTATTTCTCCAACACTTCCAGGGGAGCTTTGCATACTGCCCACAAACAGTACCCCTTCTCTCTGAGCCTCCTCGCTCAAGGCGCGCAAGATCCCCAGGCAACTTCCCTGAGCGAAGCACCCCCAGCCGCGGGAACTTACTTGGGTTCCACGTGTAGAGACTTCACAACAGCTGGGAACCGGGGCGAGAGCCAGGTGCTCAGGGGAGCGCCGAGGCCCGGGAGCCACCAGCCAGGAGAGCGCGGAAACCCGGGAGCGGCGAGCCGGAGGAGCGCGGAGACCAGGAAGCCGCCAGCCGGGGGAGCGCGGAGACCCGGGAGCGGCGAGCCCGGGGACCGGAGGCGCATAGACCCGGGAGCGCCGGGGCGCTCACAGCACCAGCAGCTGCGGGAAGCGCTGGGCGGGTGCAGCCTTGCGCCCCGGCCCGGAACGGGAACTGGACGGGAGGGCACTTGCGGCCGCGCCCGCCCGCCTCGCCTGGCAGAGCAGAAGGGCGGAGGCGGTGCCGGCCGGACGAGGCGGGGTCGGCGCTGGGGCCGCTGGCTCGCGGGAAGTCTGGAGACGCGGCGCACAGAAAAGTGGCCGCGGGCAGCCCCAAGGCGCGCTCCGCGCCGGCCGAGAGCTGCCAGCCGCGGGCAGGGTCGAATGCGCAGGCGGGAGAGTTGGCCCGGGGGTGACACTCTTGGGAAATCCTTGCGCCATGGTGGCCGCGAGTCCAGACCCTCCCCTTAAAAGTATCAACCCAGATCCTGCAACCAGAGGCAAATCCTGGGCAAGACGGTGAAACTCTCGTTAAAATGGGACACGTGCGCCTGGATGAAAACTAGCTTGGAGGAATCAAACTTTTTACGACAGAGCATATACGTAGATTTATACTTAAAAATTTTTTATTTATTTATGTATTTAATGTTTTCTTTATTTTTGAGCGAGACGGAGCATGAACTGAGTAGGGGCAGAGAGAGGGGAACAGAGGATCCGAAGCAGGCAACGTGCTGACAGCAATGAGCCCCATGCGGGCTGGACCTCGGGAGTGAGATCATGACCTCAGCGAGGCCTGGCCCTCAAATAAACGAGCCACCCAAGCGCCTCTAGATTTATACTTTTTAAAATCTAAGTCTTTCTTTCCGTTCTTAAATCTTTTCTTGACGGTGTACATTTTATACTGTATACATTAATCAGTGATGACTCATAAAGGAGTTTTTAAACACACTAATAAGTTTCCAATAAAATATTTTTAAACGTTTTAAATGGAGAACGTCTACATAAAGCATACCTATAAAAAGTGGTCATTCACATTAAAATACATTCGGCCACGTGACCACAAATATGCATGAATATTTAAGTTCCTATCAAAAGGCTGCCTTCTGAGAGAAGTATGTTCATAACTCAAAAGTAAAACTTCGCAGGGTCGCCTAGGTGACTCAGTCGGTGGGGCCTCCTACATGGGCTGAGATCGTGATTTCCCAGTCGGTGAGCTGGGCCCCCAGACTGGCTCTGTGCTGAGAGCTCAGAGCCTGGAGCCCTGTTTCAGATTCTGTGTCTCCCTCTCTCTCTGCCCCTCCCCTGTTCATGCTCTGTCTCTCTCTGTCTCAAAGATAAATAAACGTTAAAAAAAATAAAAAAAGAAAAGTAAAACTTTGCAAAAATAAAATTGATGGAATACAAAGTACAACTTGTAAGGACCAACATGAAGACAACATACTAATCCTTTCAGTTTACCCTTGTTTTAACCTCTGGTAGAAAATTTTTTAAAATTCTCTGTTCTTCTCTGATTCCGATATGTATCTTCCATGACTTTTAAACTCTCATATTTCCCATATACTGCTTCTGTGGCTGCATTCTGAGTAACTTCATTTCTGTCTTACCATTCCCCAATTATTTTGCAGATATTTTGTAGAGGTATGCAGACCTCGCAACAGCTGGGAGCCCATCTGCTCTTTAACCCATCTGTGGTAGGCAGAATGGTGCACATCCCTCCCACCCCCCCACCGCCCCCATAATGTTCATGTCCTACACCTGGAAACTCTGAATATGAAAAGCAGAATTAAGGTAGCAGATGGAATTTAGGGTGCTAATCAGCTAACGTTGAGCTGGGAAAATTATGGTGGATTATCCAGGTGAGCCTTACGTAGTCATAGGGGTCCATAAAAATGAAGTGGGAGACAGAAAAAGGAGAATCAGAGAGATGGTAACCAGAGAAGGCTTTGGCCTGATGTTGCTGGCTTTGAAGATGGAGGAATAGGGTTCTGAGCCAAGGACCATGGTGGTTTCTAGAAGCTGTAAAGGCAACAAAATAGATTCTTCCATTGAGCCTTGAAAGGAACAGTCTTGCTGACACTTTGATTTTGGCACAATGAGACTCATTTCAGACTTCTGACCTCCAGAACTGTAAAAAAATTAATTTGTGTTGTTTTAAGCCACTAAATCTATGGTAACTTGTTACAGCAGCAATAGAAAACCAGTACACCATCACTTAAGTTCTTACTGTTAACAATATATTTACTTTCTCAACATCATGGTTCTATTTCTAGTACTCTTGGTCATTTTTAAAACTTTTTTAACATTTATTTTTTTGAGAGACAGAGAGAGACAGAGCCTGAGCAGGGGCAGAGAGAGAAGGAGACACAGAATCTGAAGCAGGCTCCAGGCTCCAAGATGTCTGCACAGAGCCCAATTACAGGGCTTGAACCTATGAACTGTGAGATCATGACCTGAGCAGAAGTCAGACGCTCAACAGACTGAGCCGTCCAGGCGCCCCTCTAGTTTTCCAATAGTCTCCTGTTCTTTGCTAATTCCATCACTTGTTCTTTCTTTTCTTTCCTTCCTCCCTTCCTCCCTTCCTCTCTCTCTCTCCCTCCCTCCCTCTCTCTCTCTCCTTTCTCTCTCTCCTTCTCTCTCTCTCTTTCTCTCTTTCTCTCTTCCTTTGTTTTCTTTCTCTCCTTCCTTCCTTCCTTCCTTCCTTCCTTCCTTCCTTCCTTCCTTCCTTCCTT